AATTAATGAACTAAGCAGTATTATTTTGCAAACTGAATACTGTAGTTATTTTTTTTCTTCAGAATAAGTTTTAGGGACTTGTAGGTGGCATGGTGGTTGAGGGTGCTGGACTCCCACATGGCCAACTATGGTTTGAGTCCTGGGCCTGGTGGCTTGCTTTCTCTGTCTCTCGTCAAATAAAATAAAATAAAATAAATAATTATTTTTTTAAAAAAAGAATACATTTTAAAGGAAAATTAAAAAACAAATCTATGAATCTTCTCTCATTGCCTTATATTTTGTGACCATGCCAGACATATGTATAGCTGCATGACCTGTATGGCTGAAGGCATGGTCTGAGTGTGGGAAGACTGTGGATTAGAGAATAAACATAAAAATAAACACACAAAGACATACAAGTAGAAAAAAGTGGGAATCGGGTGGTCTTGACTCCTCTGATGAAGGCAGCCAGGGCCCCAAACCATTCACAGCTTTATTCTTTGAAAGAGTAAAAAAAGGAGAAAGGGGAAGTAAAAAGCAAAGTCAGTTTTCAGATGTTAATTGGTTGAAGATGCAAAGACATCTGGCCATGTAGTACTGTCTTCTTGGACCTTTTCTGACTAACACACATGACTTCCTTTAACTGATACTGCTTTGTAGTTTTGAACACAGAGGCAGCTAACATATTCATATGTTGATGGCATTTATTTAGCCTTGCAAATGAAGGCCCATAGATCATAGAACCGAGTATCTGTATGTGTTTAAAGGTAACATTGTGCTTGCTTGGATTGGCCACTCTCTACATAGAGCAATATTATTAAGTACTTTGGAACCTATATTTTTCAGTATTCTTCTGGCCATCATAATTCCTTAGTCTCCTGAAAAAATGAAAACGGTAACATTTTTCTCTACAAACTGTAGGTCTTATCAAGGATTTCCAAAATAAAATGCAATCATAGCTGAGTGGGTTTTCGTTTTGTTTTGTTTTGTTTTAATTTCTAGTGTTGTCTCATATTTTATTTAGTAAAAACAATCATATAAAGGGCCAGCTAGTGGTGTGATGGTTAAGGCAGTGGGATCTCACATGGCCGACAGCATGGTTCAAGTCCTGGACCAGGGGCTTGAGGAACATGCCAGGCCCTTGTGTGTGGCGGCCCAAGATCTCACTTTTGTGGGGGCATCCTGGCTGCCACCTCTGGCAGATGGCCTTTGAGGCCCCACAGGCTGCACTGTCCTCCCCACTCCCCTTGCGCCCCCCCCCACCACCACCACCATAGTCTCTCTCTGGCAATTACATGTGCTCTTTGGTATCTTCAATTACATAATTATACACCTCTGATTTTTTTTTCACTGATTTTGTGTGTTTTTAGAAAGGTAATCCCTTTCTTCTCAATAAATGATCTTAGGCAAGTCAACTTCTTCAGATTCAAGTTTCTTCATCTTAAATACTTAGAATTTTAAAGTCTCTTTGAGCATTTTCTGAAATTTGGAATTATATAAAATAAATGTAAATTTAAGCTTTAATATTGTTTGAAACCAGTAAAGCTCAGTTTCTAACTTTTAAAAAAATAATAGGGAAATTTTAAGGTGTTTTTAATTTTCTTATGAGAAAACAAGTGAAAGAAGGATTTTTAAAGTTGATTTTTTTTTCTTCCATGAGTGAAAGACACACAGAGAGAGATTGATAAACAGGCACTTCCAATATAGTCATCACATGGCAATCCACCCCCAGCTTCAACTGGCTCCTGATCATTGGCACACATGTGCCCAGTGTGTTTAGAAAGATCTCTTGATATGGGCTCAGAAAATAGGTGCAGGCATAAGTATTCCTTTCCAAAGCTAGTAAGAGAAGTGCAAAATCGGAGGTTATTGGGCCAGTTGGTGGCATGGAGATTAAGGCAGCTGGATTCCACATGGCTGAAGCACAGTTTGGGTTCTGAACATAGCACGCTGAAAAACATGCAGGGCATGTGTGTGTTTGTGCCCTGAATCCTGAGGAGAGTGAAGGAGAAATGATTGTAGTGTGGCTATACCCCCAGGGGGTGATTTATCACTTTCTCTCCCTTTCTCTCTCCCTCCCTGGCAAGGATATGACTCATATAGCAACAAAACAAACGAGGAAACAAAGTGTAGATTATTTGGCTTGATGTTGTCACTTTCTTATAAGTGAAGCTCTAACACAATTGGTATATCATTATAAAAATGAGCCAACTACCTCTTCATCACTTTGGACAGGTGACTTTTTCTTTGTAATAATTTTCATTTTTCCAAAATTTATAATGTTCTTTTCTTTCTTTTTTTGTCTTTAGAGATTTTTGTTATAGGATGCGTGCACTCACCAGCAATACAGAGATAGAGAGACAGAGAGAAATCACGCCCCCTGGGTGGATGGTCACACCACAATCCCTTCTTTTTCATTCTCCTCTTGGGATTTTGGGCACATACTCACTCATGCCTAGGGTGAGTTTTAAGCTACCAGATCTGGGTCTCAAACTATGATCAACCATGTGGGAGTCCAGCACCTTAACCACTATGTTAATATCTTATTTAATGTTTATCATATGTAGGGTCATAATGTTTTCCCTAGTAATCTAATTTTTTACAAATAATAATTGCTCAGCACTCCTCTAAATAGTTTTTTATGTTGTAACAACTACTAAAATATTCGCTGATGCGACTAGCATATGGTGTATTGGTTACATTGCTGGACACCCGTGTAGTCAACTGTGGTTTAAGTTCCAGACCTGGCGGCTTAAAACTCAATGCCAGACTTGTATGTGTCCGTGCCCAGAATCATGAGTGGCGAATGGAAGAGAAGGGATTGTGGCATGGCCATGACCCCTGGGGGGGTATTTCTCACTTTCCGTCTCTCTCTGTCTTTCTCTGTCTCTCCAGTGAGTGCACGTGCCCTATAGCTAACTCTCAAAAAAAAAAAAAAAAAAAAAATATCAGAGTGCCAGTTTTCTGCCAGCTACCAGAGAAATAAATGTGAATTTGACTTCCTTTACCCTCCTGTAGCTCTAGTTCCTTCTTAACATGTAGTTAACTAAAATAGGACACAGAATTCTATAATTTGGCTGATTATGCATTTATTAAATAAATGAGTGTTATATGCCTATAACATGTCAGTCTCTATTCTAGGAATTTATTGTTTCCAATAAGACATTCTGTGATGATGAAAATCTTGTGTTTGCTCTGTCCAGCATAGAAACCATATTTACATGTGACAGTGCGGTCCTTGAAATGCGGCCAGTGGGTCTGAACAACTGAATTTTCTCTTTTAATTAATTTAAACTTAAATAGCTGTACATAGCTCTCAAGACTTTTACGTTTTAAAGAGGGGAGATGAAAAAAAAGTAACTTGCAAAATAAACAGGGTAATTTAACGTTGTGTCAAATGATAAGAGGGACAAAAACGAGAGGATGCAGCCACTGTTACAACCTGTGAGGAAATGAGGCAGGAAGGGATGGTAAGGTACCACTTCAGAGAAACAGTGGCCAAGGAAAGACCTACCTGTTGAAATAATACTTGAACTGAACCTGGATAATAAAAGACAGCAGTATGAGAAATTGGGAGACAAGGATTACCAGAAGGACCAGCACATGCAAGTGCCCTGAGGAGGGAACAAGTTTAGTGTATTAAAGAAAAGGAAAAGCCAATGTGTTTGAGGCAGTCTGTGAAGGGGGAGATTGAGGCTGAAAAAGGAAGCAGGGGTTAGGCCATTAAGTCTGCCATTCAGCACAGTTAAGGAAGGTAGGAAATCACTGGTGGGTTAAGCAGAAGGTGACATGATAGGATAATGCTTTTGAAAGATCTCTCTCTGCATGCTCTCTAGAAAATAAATTATGATAGAAAACAAGTGGAGGCAGAGTGATCAGGTAAGAAGCTGTACTATTTGAAGTTTGGTCTAGGGGGTAGCAGTGAGGAAGGTGAAAAGTGAAAGAATTCTGGCTACATCTCAGAGGTAAAACAAACAAAGCTTAGTGACAGAATTAGTACAATAAACTGATTGCCTTTAAAGCATCGCTATAGAGTACGCGCTTTCATAATCCCTTCATATTTTAATATAAGGTTGAATGTGTATTTAACAACCCAACACTGCTGACAATTTGAATAGCCATGTTCCCTATTGGTATTCATATAAACAAGTGACTTTCATAGCATCAGTATGGTTTGTCAGAGTTTGATGATTCAGAAAAATGTACCAATAAAAGCCTAAGAATGTTTGTTTTTTTTTAAAAAAAGACTTTCATTTTGCCATATTCTGCAAATAAGATTTATCATGCTAGAGTTATGAGCTGATTATGCGATCTCTGTGTCTCAATAAATTATTCCTGGTGCTCTACTTAGGAGCAGTATGTGTGGTTTATTGCAGAGAGTAAGCTGAGCAGAATTCCAGTACACATGTTCATGCAGCGACCATACGCAGGGCTAGTCAGTGTATGTAAGGGGTTTTTTGTACCAAGTCCCTAGTGTCTTGGCATTACTTTTATTATGTCTGCAATGTTTGTGTAGATGAAATGCCACAACACATTCTTTTACTATTGTAGCCTCAACCAGTCTTTTTTTTTTTTTTTTTTCTTAAGAAAGAGCAATTACTATCATAAAAATTCCTTACTGGAGAACTTTCCATATTGCATTATCATTCCATGAGTTTAATAATAGTGGAATATAAAGAAAATTCTTTTTAGAAAATACTGAAATATCTAAAAAAGACTTCGAGGTCTGTAGCTAGCTCCATAATGAGAAACACCAAAAGTCTGGCGGAGGAGAAATGAGAGAGAAGAAGCAAAGTCAAGTTTTTTTAGAATTCTGGTCCACGTTACAGATTTAGAAATCATGACCTGACAAGATAATTTGCAAACGGCATGCACTTTCACCAGTCTATACAGAGTTAAAGAACTGTCTGTTATCTAGTAGAATGCTAATGCCTGTAACTGGTCATTACCTGACCTTTATGTATTTCTGATACTTCTACGTGCCTAAAAGCTAATTTTGTGTTTTCTGTGAAATCTTGCAGTGGTGTTATCAGGGAGATTGTGTTCCTTTTGGCACTTGGCCCCAGAGCATAGATGGGGGCTGGGGTCCCTGGTCACTATGGGGAGAGTGCAGCAGGACCTGCGGGGGAGGCGTCTCCTCATCCCTAAGACACTGTGACAGTCCAGCGTAAGTAGCTAAAGTAAGCCGGAGCCAACAAAAAGACACAGTTGGAAATGATTCAGAGCTGTGGTTTCACATGTTATCTGTAAAAACGTTTCACTAGTGAGCCAAACGCTTGTCTTCAGAACAAGCCATAGGCACAGGAAAGTGGAGGAGCTTTGTTAAACAGATTATTTTTCTTCCTTTCCTCTTATTGTGTAACTAAAAATAAAATTTAAAAAATAGAAAAGCATTGTGTATCTGCCCTAGATAAGCCAGACTTTTAATCTAGTAATAATCAGATAGATTTCCTCCTCCCCAAACTACTGAATTATGGATGAATCCAGGTCTGGTCTTAGCTCCATTACCATTATTCCCAGGAAACCTAAGGTCTTTTCACATGTCACATAAAATTATTACTGCTACATTAGTATTAAAAGGACCAATGAGAGCACTTCAAGGGTTGAAATGCCTTGATTCGCATCACAAATCACAATGAAAAGAATACTGCCCGTGTGTTAAAATAGTTTCCATTCACATGCCCCCATTAATCATCTTCCAGAGCTGCCACCACTTTTCTCCCCACGACTGTTTTACGCAGGTCAGCCTGAGCCTCTCCCACCACCCTTTTCTCCAGCCAGAGTCCCCCTGGCATGAGGCCAGCCCGTCAGTATTCTCGGGGAGCTCTGTCTTTCTCCCTCCCACCAATGCCCATTTACAGGTGAACCATCCTCTAGACATGCTTTCCTGGCCTTTCCGAGACTGGACTGCCCTTAGCTGCAGCATGCAACTGCCCTTTTTCATCTCAAACTCAGGTTCAGGGCCTCTCCCTGACTTGTATTTGGTGTAGAGCAATGCACTGATGACACTTTTTCCTCCTCTCTGGGTTAAAAGATGATCAATTTTTATTATCTTTTGTTTTGTGTTTTCATTTTAACTCAGGGCCCCACTCTTTGATTCTTTTGTTCTCTTTACCTTGACATTTTTAAAAATTTTTGTTCTGTTATTATTACCTTCGTGCTTATAGAGCTTCCTGTCACCCATTCGTAAAGCAGGCATGCTACCAGCATCCTCACTACCTTGTTTTTTGTCTGACCAACCTCGTTCTCTCACGCTGGTTCAAGCTGAAATATTTCTTTCGCTTGCTAAGAGTCAGCATTCACTGGCATTCAAAATGTATTCAAAATGTAACTGTAATTATTCCATTGATACCTTTGAGCCACAACTATAATTTAGGCTTGACCTTTTTTAAACAAGTACAGAATAATTAACCTCAGTTCACCTGAAGGCTGCTGTAAATTAATAACCAAAATATAAAAACCCTATGATAACCAACACGCCCAGATACTTAAAGGAATGACCTGGACTTCTTTTAAAGAAGTTGTCATTTTCCGTTCAGTAATAGTATATCCAAAAAGTAGATAGATATAACTTTCCCTAAAGTTAAATACTTGAACGGTTAACTTCTGTAAATCAAGCATTTAATATCATTTTTCATTAATTTGGGTATAAAGTATTTATATAATGCAAAGCCATCTGATTTTTTAATTTAATTTTTTAAATTTTTTTGTAATATTTGAAATGAGATAGAAATTTATTTCTGTATTATTTACCTTGAACTATTTCCAGAGAGTTATTCAGTGTCTTCTCCTTGTTTCCCATCTGGAAAGAACCCAAACTTTCTATTTCTTATTTGGTTAACATAGAGCATCAAATTTTGGGTTTGTTGAATATGATTTAAGTGGCTTTTCATTATATAAGTGGTATGTTTAGTTCATTGTTACTGAACTTAATACCATGATAATTAGAAAATACATTGATTTAATTGAATTTTCTTGGGATGTAAATCCTGACTATTAAGAGTCTTAAAAATTACTCATAGTAAATTGGTTAATTTTTATGTTAAACAACCAAATTTGTTATTGCTAATGATCATCAGCATAATTATTATTTTATTAATTAATAAAATGTCAAATTTAGTGTTTTCTTAAACTTTAATATGATTTCATCAAACAATATATGTATTCTTTGTGTAGATAGATATATTATATTCACATGTTCAACAAAATGTTTTTTCAGACCTTCAGGAGGTGGAAAATACTGCCTTGGGGAAAGGAAACGGTATCGCTCCTGTAACACAGATGTAAGTAAAACCAAAATCTGCTGTGAAAAATTAGCTTACTCTTCCCCTAGAGCAGGGAAAATTTTAAAAGTGTAAGCTGTTTGATTAGAAATCCATGTGTGTGAGGGGCACATGAGTTCTTAAATTGTCAATAATGAGTGGACCTAGTGGCTTTGGCTCCATTGATTCCATCTCTAGGGGTCAAGGGGAGCTCGGGCACTAAGCAGCAAGGGCTGTCTTTCCCAATAGGTCTCCTGAAAGAGAATGCACACCTTTAACGGCCTCACCCCACAATACTCACAGCTACACCAGTCTTGAATCCACTAAGACTGACTTTCTCATATATCTTTTGTGTTCTTTTATGCTTGCCACTGCAAGAAGCTCCTGACTTCTACATTGTCTCTTTTCTCTTACCATCCAATCCTGTAAGACTGCATTATCTCCTCTGCTCCATATCCTGTCATTGCCCAACTACTGAAACTCTCCTTGTTCTCAGAAATCCATGCCCATCATCGACAGAATCTCTTATATCTTTGACTTCTCTGAATTTTCCTTTCCTTCACTCTCTTGAAATAATGGAAGCTGACTCTCCTCTGAAGATCATGCTCCTTCCTTCGGTAGTCTCTAGACTGGGTACTTCTGTTTTTACCCGTAGTACTTGAACGAATAAAGTAGACTCTATGTGTGGTTTTTTGTTTGTTTGTTTGTTTTTTAATTTGCCAGAGGATGCACATGCTCACTGGAGAGAGGCAGAGCGAAAGAGAGAGAGAGAAAGTGAGAAGGCACCCCTCATGGGAAGGCAGTCACACTTCAATCCCTTCTTCTCCACTCTCCTTTCAGGATTTTGGACATGCATGTACATGTGACCATTGTGTTTTTCAGGCTATCAGATCCAGGACTCAACCATGAAGTTGTCCATGTGGGTTCCAGCTGCCTTAACCACCAAGCCACCCGCTGGCCTGGATTGTCTATCTTTATCTATTGGGTTGTTGGAATCCAAGTCATGATATATTTTCTATGTTTTTCTATGCAAAAATCCATCATGATTTGCCAACGACGCAATATCTTATTATTCCTTCCTAATCATTCTACCTCCCTTCTGTGTAAAAATTACAGCTTTTAATTTATGTCATTGAACCATTAACCCACGATCCCTCACTCATTTTCTCTCTAATGCTATCCTCTCAAATTCTTGGTGCTTTCATAAATATGTAGACAATTGGTCCAACATTCTCTTCTGGATTTTTCCAGAACCATACACATACATTCCCAAGTAAGAGCAAGCAAGCAAGAAACAAACAAAAAACCTTGCTAGTTAATTTCTTATTTCTTTGCTTCCCTTTGAAATAGAATTCCTGAAAAGACTTGCCTATCTTTATTGAATCCAGGTCCTTTCTTCTCATTCTTTCTAAAATTTTCCTGTCAGGTTTTGCCTTCATCATTCTATTAAAATTCTCTTGTCAAGTCATACATGACTTTATATTGCTTAAATCCAACAGCCAATTGTGAGTCTTCTTATTTGACTTTCACTAAGCTTCGAGGACACTGCAGACTGTTGGTCATTCTTTTATATCACTGCTTACTCCTCAATCTCCTTTGCTGATTCCTTCTGTCTCTGACCTCCTAATGTTAGAGAGAGTACCGAGGCCATAATCCTTGGCCTTGTTCTGTGTTCTACCAATACTGATTTTCTTGTTTCATTGTTTTGATGCCATTTGACCTTGAATTTTTATCTTCAATTCAAACTTCTTCCATGGATTCCAGGCCCATATCTTACTACTTGATTTGACTTTTAATAGATACCTAATTTGTAGCATGTTTAAATGTTATCTCCAGGGACCAGCAGCTAGCGCAATGGCTATGTCACTGGACTCCCATGTAGTCAACTGCAGTTCGAGTCCTGGACCTGGTGGCTTAAAACTCACGCTGGGTGTGTGTGCATGCGTGCCTAAGATCCAAGAGGAGAATGGAGGAGAAGGGAACATGGTGTGGCCATCCTCCTGGGGGGTGATTTCTCGCTTTCTGTCTCTCTGTCTCTGTTTGTCTGGTGAGCACACACTCCCTATAGCAAAAACCTCTCAAAAAATGTTATCTCCGAAACATTATCACAGTTGTGTTCTTTTAGCAGTTTTCCCCATCTCATATCAACTACATTTGGTTAAACTAAAGGTCTTTGTCTCTATTGACTGGTGTCTCTGTCTCAGAGTCTATATCCAATCTGTCAGGAAATCCTGTTGATTTTGCCTTCAAAATATGTTATAAATCTGACCATGTCCTCCACTGCTACCGCTCTGGTCTCAGTTACTACTGTTTTTCAATTAATTACCTTAATAGCCTCTTACAAGGATTTTCTGTTACTACTCTTGCCCCCTACAGTCTTCAACATAGGAGGCAAAGTGAGTCAGGTTATCCTTTACTCAAAACCCTACAATGGCTAGCCATTTTACTTAAACCCAAAGTCCTTTCAAAGGTCTGCAGTCTATATAATTTGGCTTTCATTACTTCTCTGAACTCATCTCTTACTATTTACTTCTTCATTCACTGTTCTAGCCACATGGGCCTCCTTCCTCAAAAGTGCCAGCCTTGTTCCCACCTTAGAATTTTTGCATTGCATGTTCCATGTCTAATTTTATCACTTCACCTTTATTCAGTTCTCACCATCTCAATTATCTCAGCCTGAATACTGTATTTACACTTGCAACCCTTCCTGGTCTCTACAACCCTTGACTCCTAATCTGCCTATCCTGCTCTTTTTTCCTCTTATAATATCTTCTATTGCACTTGTAGTTTATTTATGATATTTAATTGTATTCTAATTGTATCTCAGAGTAAGTATGCATAGCTTTAATTACAACTATCTTCTCATGTTACTGGCATTATTTATTTATACATTCATTTCAAAAAGTAACTGAATGCCTGTTAGTATATTAGACTAGCTTAATTAGGAATGTAGAGATTTTTTTTTTTTCCCATTGGGTGCTAAAGGACCTGTAGAGCAAATTGGAGCTGGGCTGAAAAGAAGAAAAATGTAACAATCAGAGCATTCTAGGCTGAAGGAAAGTTAAGAGCAACGCCTAGAGGTTAAAAAGTATGATCTTTATCTTGAGACATTAAGAAGCCTTTGAAAGAGCCTCAATTCATCCTTTAGATGAGGACTGGTTGAAGAAAGTCTAGATTACAACACAACAGTAAACTCATCTAGATGAGTTTTAGGATATTGGTGAGAATGATTAAGTGCCAAGCCATGGGCTCTACACTAGGAGTGACAACAGAGTCTAAAGAGGCCTAAAAAAGGAGAACATTAAGGACCTAACTTCAAAAAGCCATAAAAATCAAAGAACCAATGTAGTAAGAAAAAAATCAGGTGAGGAGATCAGAGAATGGAATGTACTTGAATTTAAGATATGACAAGTGAGAATGTTGACAAAAATGACAAATCTAGACTGTGGCCTTGAGAGTGTATGCCTAACTTTGAACAGAGGTGAAGGAGTTCAAAGAACTTCAAAGCTAGTGAGTTTGGAGGGTCTTCCATGTGGATGTTGAATCACTCAGGATAATATCAGTTAGACCTTGTTATACAGAGTGAGACTGTGAGCCACATTTCAAACATCCTAATAAACGTGAGAAATGATCCTCATTTATTGAGCTATAGAGTGTAAGTCAGATAGTGATTGGAAGGATGACAGGAACATCAAAGGAGTAGAGGTTTTATATGAGGATAAAAGAATTGAATATCTACTATTTATTGAACTGTTAGGTAGGCGGACGAGAGTCAAACCTACCTCTCAATTCCTCAGTATTTACATTATTATGTAATGGTAGGGGTGTACAATGCATGTATGATAAGGGAGAAAGAAAAAAGAAGAGCCAGAAACCTCAGAGTTGTTGCATTTTATTTATTATCTGTATGTTAGATACTCAAATTGTAGAAGCTGCTATGGGCAGGTTGACATTTCTAATACTATCTTTGTCTTTTGTTTCAGCTTTTAGCAAGTTATAAGGAGTTAAGTTAACATAATTACATCATGGATACACAAATAATTAATGATCTTTTTTTCTCCATTAATATGAGCCCTAACTAGTTCAGAAGTTGAGGCAATTGAGTTACATACTGAAACTTATTTTCTGCTACTCAAGTTAAATGAAGTTCTCTGAACATAATCTGTGTAAGCTAGGACCTGCTTTCATGGAATCTGTCGGGCTGTCAGAAGAGTCATGGCTAGTGCATCCGAAGAACAGAATTTTTAAGTTTAATTAGCTTAACATGGAATAGTCCCATGTGGCTAGTGGCAACCATATTGGATACAATAGAGCTAGATAGTGTAACTATGCAATAGACGACTAATTGTCACAAAGAGGATTGATTGTACATATTAGGTTGTCAGTAAAGTCATGATGTATTTTTTTCTAGGCAAAAATGTGTTATAACTTTTCTGACAACCCAATATTACACATAGAATTCTCAAAAACAAATCTTAGTTAATTTAAAAAATAAATGTGGAGAGGACAGCAGGTGGCATGGTAGTTAAGCTGCTGAACTCTCACATAGCCAACAATGGTTCAAGTCCCAGATCTGGTGGCTTACTTTCTCACTTTCTCTCTTTGTCTCTCTGTCTCTCTGTCTCTTCCTCTCTCATCTCTCTCTGATGAGCACACATGCCTTATAGAAAAATTTAAAAATAATAATAAATTTGGGCCAGCAGGTGCTATCGTGGTCAAGGAACTAAATTTCTACATAGCTGACCACAGTTCGAGTCTTGAACTGGCAGCTTGCTTTCTCACTTTCCCTCTCTCTCTCTCTCTCTTTCTCTCTCTCTGAGTGCACTTGCCCTATAGGAAATTTAAAAATAATAATAGCAATAATAAATAAAAATAAATAAATAATTCTTTACAAAAATAATAATTAATTAAATTTAATTTAAAAATAAATGTATAGAGAATTCCATTTGTGGTAATGACAAGCTATTTTGACAAATTTTTAAAATTGTTTAATAAGGCTTCTTTTTAAAATTTTATTTGAG